TCGTAAATATATTGTTATACTCTTGATGTTAAGTCAATAATGTTGCATAAAGAGGCTGAACATTTCCAACATTTCAGTTCTAATTTAACTAGGAAAAAAATGACTTGTATGCTAGATGCTTGATTTAAATATCTGTAAATCTGCCTTAAATTTTCTGTTCTTTATTCATTTCATTTTTAAAATTCAGATGGGAAAATTAATTTTCCTTTCCTTTCCTTTCCTTTCCTTTCCTTTCCTTTCCTTTCCTTTCCTTCCCTTCCTTTCCCTTCCCTTCCCCCTTCCCTTCCCTTCCCTTCCCTTCCCTTATTATTCAAGGTAGAATAGTAGGTTATTACTGGCATTCTTGGTTTAGTTTACTGACCTTCATCATGTTGAAGTTTTCTGGCTACCTAAACTCCCAAATTGAAAAAAAAACAACACAGTGGATATTCCTTATGGAACACCTTCTCCAGAGATTTGGATGGTCCCTCTTTTCATTGCCTTCCAGAAGGATATTAAGAACTGATTCTAAGTGAGCCTAATATTTGTGTTTCTGAGAGGATGGTGTTATAGCATTTAGTGGTGTCTAAGAGGATTTTTAATTTTGTGTATTTCAGTGTAGGTAAAATCTGTTAGCTAGTTTGGGATATTTTATATAATATGGCCAGCCATATTTTTTTCTAGTAAATGAATAAATAAACATGTCTTCCTTTGGGTCATCATTAAAGTGTGGAAAGCACTGTAGAACACTGGAGAGATGATTATACACAATGAAATTGAAGACATTCATACACACTTGGCTACTTTGTAATTATGCTATTTTAAGAATGTCACAGTTCATTTCATCAGTCATCAAAATTTCACTAAAAGTCTCTTCTCCTTTGAAAGATATATTAAAACTACATTCTTTTTCATCACATTGAATAAGAAATGGTAGAGAAAAATGCAGATTTTTCTCTATATGGCATCTAGTAGTATTTCATCTCGCTCTACGATCACACAGATAAGATTAAGATTGTCCTTTAAATTTTCAATGATTGTACATTTTTTCTAGCTAGATTGTTCCAATTTTAATAGTTAGAAGGTAAATAAATAAATATTCCTCCATACTCCCAGTGATTCTTGGCAGTTAAAATGTTTAAAAACAAGATATACATATACAAAATATACAAAAACAGAACAAACATATATTCTCTTTGTTACATTCTGCACAAACTTAACATAGGTAGTATTTGTCTATTACATTTTCTAGCCTGCTTGCTTCATTTTTCAGGTTTCTCAGGAAAAAAAGACCTTTTCATTAAGTAAGATGGAGTTCTCTACTCTGTTTTCCTACCAGAATGTCCAAAGTTGTATGTATAGTTATATGGATTTGTAGCTCTGATTTGCACCTTTGTTGTAGGTATTATTATTATTACATTATTACATGCAAATTAGCGTTCCTAATGGGCTTGGAGAATCATAAAATGTTCTTTTACCCCAAAATATATTACTGAGCCTCCTCTTCACTTGCCCTCATACCTTCCATGTTGGTCTCTGTTGACTTGATTTTGTTTTACTTTGTTTTGTTTCTGGGCAGTTGCCACACTTGTAAGCAAGGCTGCAGCCATTCACCATTTTATCTCTGCTGGAAGCTAATGATGTTGTTCAAGATATAGGCTCTTTTTGAAGCTGGTTTTCTGCAGCATAGTCCCTTCTGTGATGAATTGAAAAAAAATCCTAGGACACCATGACATACAAGGATACAATTTTGGGACAGAGGACAACAATTGATTGATTTGGTCTTAGTTTACAATAATGTAGAGCCGTAATGGCTAACCTATGGCACGCGTACCACAGGTAGCATGCGGAGCCATATTGGTGGGCATGTGAACTCAGCTCTGGCACGCATGTGCACACCGGCCAGTTGATTTTTGGGCCTTCTGGGCCCACCAGATATCAGGAAACAGGCTACAGAGCTTTTCTAGGAGCTTGGGGAGGGCAAAAACAGCCTTCCCCACCCCTCTGGAGGCCCTCCGGAGGCCAGAAATGGCCCGTTTGCCGACTTCCAGTCCCACCATTGCATGCCAAAAACGGGGGGGGCGCGGGGGGGGGTCGCATGTGCATGCGCGGGGGGGCAAGGTGCATAGAATTATGGGTGTGGGCATGTTCGTGCGTGACCCCCCTTGCACTTCCCCTGCTTTTGGCACACGATGGCAAAAAGGTTAGCCATCACTGATGTAGAGACTCATCCCAAGGAAAATATCAAATGCCATTATTGGGCAATTATTTTTCTCCAAGGGTAAAGAATTAGATCCTGTCGCCCTTAAATCTTATGAAGCCAAAACACTAGTTCTGATATTATTCATAACTCAGATGGGAATCTATGCAATGAAGAATACCATGAAAGTGCTACAAACCAAATTTTAAAGAGCAATTCTTGCTGCCCCAGGAGATGTAGCCCTTGGCACTCTTAGACTTGAAGCAGGGATGCATATAATAGAGCTAAAGGCCTGGAGCATGAAGATTAATTATTCTCCAATGGCCTATTAGCCTTATTATTAGTGGAGGACTATTTTCTTATCTAGAGGGGTGCTATAAAGTCTGAGTAAGCATGTTATATAGGCTTCTTACTCTGAATTATGAAAAGACCAGGCATGTACTCTCATAACGGATAGATGTTATAGAGGTCATTAAGATGCTCCAGAACAGCAGAGCTGGATGTCAAGGGGACTTTGGTTGCTGGCCAAATATTAAACATTTCTCACATTCCCTGGCCTGAGGAAGGATTTCTTTGGACACACAATAATACATTACCATCAACCTTCCTACAGAATAGATATGCCAACCCCCTTTATCCAAACAGTTTTGCCCTTGTAGTTGAGAAGATATCAAAGCAATTGTCCATGTACTTCTGTACTACAATTTCTAAGGGCACCATGCCGTTTTAAGAATATATGATGCCCATAGAACATAATGATTGATGGTACCCGTTCATCTGAACACTTGCAGTTAGAATGATTTTGAAGGAGGAGTGTGTGTTAGCGCTCCCTAAGTTTTGGCAGCCTAGGTCACTGCCTACTCTTAGTCTAAAAGCAACCCTGTCAGGCACGTATGGAATTCCCTATCTATAACAGTATTGTAGAAAAACAAACTTTGATTAAATAAAACTCCTGGTTTCATGTTCCAGTGCTAGCATTATCAGTAAGGGGGCTAAATTCTGTATAACTGTGTTTCAAACATGCTCTCAAAGATTGTGTCTCCAATTACTATGATTTTATATGCTTGTATGTGGATCATTGATCATCATCATAATCAGGCAAGGGCCACTGAGTTGAAAATGTCAAAACTGATGAAGAGTTCTATTTTCATGAGGTTTATAAGTCCAATATCAATTCTCTGCAACAAATTGACTGTTTCAAGCACCACTGATCCTAAAAATAGACACTTTCCTTACAAGTTTCCCCCCTTCTGCAAGTATTTTTACGTTTCTTAAAATCCTGCTCCAGAGGGAACATTCTTAGGTTATCCCTGGTTGTATTAGGAGATCTAATCTTTAGGGGATTTATCTTATTTCATTTTTGTTACTCTCCTAGCCCATTCATATTAATAAGAAAAAATTAAAACTCAGCATGGACACAGAAAAAGTACAGTATGTGCTCACCATCAATGTTATGTTAACTTTATATTATGGGTAGACCTTATAATATGAGCTGTTCAGAAATGCAGAGGGAGTTTAATTGCCCTCATGACCTCAGAGTTTTTTGTAAAGATCTGACCAGCTATTTGAGAAACAGTGACCATTTGGCTTGATCCATCAGGCTTCTAAATGAACTGAACATTAACTAACATGTATTGTATTGTCTTCATTTTGGATGCAAAAAAGCCACTTTTCCAAAAATTGTAACTGTCAGAAAAATTGGAATCTTGTGATGAAGACAGCAACAAAGGCAAAACATATTTTTGAAAAATGTTTTTCTTCTCTGTGAGCTACTTTTGAAAATCAAAGCTATTTACAGTTGGTAGCAGGGTGGATTTGATTTAAATCAAGTTGATTTAAATCACAATTTAAATCATGATTTAAATCACTAGTAAAAAGGCTTGATTTAAATCAACTCGATTTAAATCATAATTTTTAAAGAGCAACTGTCATCTCTGCTACTCCTTTGACCCACTGTTGACTCACCAATAGTCCCAGTGTTGCAGAACATACAGCCTCATGCTACATAACTAAGCTCCATTTCATGCTGAATAAACTAAATTATTTATGTATCTTAAATAGAAAACTATCTTATGATAGATTTTTACCCCAAAAGTTTTTTATTAAAATAAATTCGATAAAAATCAAAAAAATCCGATTTAAATAAAAAAAATCTGATTTTTTAAAAAAAATTTTAAAAAATCATTGATTTTTATCCACCCTGGTTGGTAGGCTTCTTGCTAGCATACTTCCAGAAATCAAAATTTGGGAATAGAATTGGTTTGTTCAATCTTATGCTCGCAATACCGATAGGAATGGGCTGACCACAAAGATTAATATGCAAAATAGTTTCCTCCCACTGTAATGATAAACAATAGTTTTATCAAAAGAGGATGAATGATGGGGACTGAGGAAAATATTTTTATTAATATTTGGAAAAATAAAAGGTTGTGGGCTCAATTCTGATAAAGAAAACCCATCTTTAGAGTTAGGGCTGTGCAGTGCTTGAGATACAGTTCTGAAAAGGTGGTTTTAAGCGCATGAGATTACTAGAATAGTGTCATTTGCTCTATTTGCACTCCTATGTGCTCTGAAGCACTGCACAATCCTACCATGAAGCAACTTGCTTCTAAGTTCTTGCCTGTTGCATAAATGGGTTTCTCCAGTTACTCATGGGTGAGTGGAAGACACTTTTCATGTGTTCAAAGAAAGGTTTGAAAGGCTACATAGAATGACCCAAATTCCTTTGCAAATCATTTGATTTGACATTTCTGTAGACTATGGGGAATATTTTTGTTTTACGTGCTTTGGTTTCTACTAAGCATCTCTCTTCTTTCCACAGCTTTTAGTCGTGCTCCTGTTCCTATGGCAGTGGTCCGGAGGGAACTCTCTTGTGAAAGCTACCCAATAGAGCTCCGTTGCCCAGGAACAGATGTTATCATGATTGAAAGTGCCAACTATGGCAGGACAGATGATAAAATCTGTGACTCAGATCCTGCTCAGATGGAGAATATCCGCTGTTATCTGCCAGATGCTTATAAGATTATGACTCAAAGGTAAGGTTGAACATTCTTGCCGGATGGGTTTTGCTTTAATCTTGTTTGCTATTTATGAAAGTCTGTTATTGTTTGAGGCTGTTAAGGTATTTGCAATCTGTTTTCATGCTTCACAGCTATGGTAGTGTAAAAATGAACAAAACAGTGAGTTACAGATCACAGAACTTTATTCAGATCTTCGGAAATGATTTAAACCTAAACTCAGTATTTATTGTACAAGAACCCCAAGTTGTAATGACCTTAATTTAGACATTTTTCATCTGTGGTCCCTTTATAGTTTCTCATTTCCTTTTATCTGGTGCCTTTTCTTTTTCTTTTTCCTATTGACTTGCCACCCTAAAGCACATATTTTCTCTTGTCCTAAATTTCCCAGGGATTAGAAACTGGTCATGGAAGTATGTATTACATTAACTTCAGATGTGACTAGAAAACATTTAGAAGTGGATTTTCTTTGACTGGAATCCTTACTGCTTTGTTTTTCCCCCCTCTTTTTCTTGTTTGAATTTAGTCCCACTTTTAATTTAGACCTTTGTAGATGTCACAGATGCTTCACATATGTTCTCTCCATAGTCCTTGCCGAGCCATATAAGGTGAGTTGTAGATGAGGGACCTGAAACTGAGTGACAGAGCTCTAACCTACTGAGTTCATGGCAGAAGCTAGCATTAAACCAGGATTCCTTATTTAATAGTCCATTAATTTAGATAGCAGACCACATAATCATAAAATTTACTTCAAAATTTAATCATTCCTTTTCTGAGATTCTCATCCTCTATTTTGCCCTCTGGTCTTGTTCCATCTTGAAAACAAACAAACAAGCCAATCACACTTACTACCAGCTGAAAATCACTGTATAATCCTCTTCGATAGCTAACACTGCCTACTTAATCTTGCTTCCCTTTAAATGTATATGTGCAGTGTTATAACCTCTGTTTGAACAAATATATTTATGTAAGCTTTGAGTTGGCCCTTTCTTTATATAAGTATGTCACAATTCTGACAGAATATCTGTTTTATAAAGAAGCAGCATCATTCAACAAAATGTTCCTAAATTTCACATAGGACCCCAATGTTCCCAGAGATTATCCACAATTTATTTCTGAAATACTTAATGTCTATTTTTGTTGAAAAGCTTTCTAAATATCTGACCACATTTTTTTATCATTTCATTTTAAATCCTCATTAACATTAGCTGGAGTAAGCATTTATATCCAGAAAATATAAAACCAAATGCATTTTTAGCTTGAAAGCTAGCCTCACGTGCTTTCATCTTAAAATAATAATTGATATTTGAACCTCTAATGGAAATGATGACATACATTAACTATTATGACTTTGTAGTCTCTCTCTCTCTCTCTCTCTCTCTCTCTCTCTGTGTGTGTGTGTGTGTGTGTGTGTGTGTGTGTGTCTCATTTCTATTATATAAAAAGTCTAGTGATGGTTTAACTATGAGATTATTTGTTTGCTGCGTTATATACATTACATACATTATGTACACTATATACATTTGTTTACACTTTATATACATTATATATGGTTTTCACTTTAATGAAAATATAAAGTTCATGGGAATAAATTCCAGTAAAGCAAATCTGGACTGTTTATGTGCAAGAAATATAAGCAACACATTAAAATAACTACATACCTAGAATTCTTGTCATTCGAAAGACTGTCATTCCTATATTTTTTAAGTGTCTTCTGCTTGAAAGAGTACTAGTCTGTAATTTTGTTGTAAGGGCCCTGATAAAGCTGAGCCAGGACTTTGAAATTGCCCATTAAGAGTTGCTAGCAGGCTAGATAGGCACGCATACAGGTCATAGGGCTGGAAGCGATCTTGGAGGTCTGATAGTTCAGTCCCCTGACCAAGGTAGGAATTCTTATACCAGTGATGGCGAACCTTTTTGGCACTGAGTGCTGAAAAGGAAGTGTGCGTGTGCGCGCGTGGCACCAAGTGCCAAAAAGGGAGCACTTCGTGTGCGTCTGGGCCGAGACCAGCAATAGGAGTTGCCCAGGGGTGTGCACGCGCCAGAGAATGTACTTGCGGTTTTTTCAGGTTACTGCCAGCAAGTCTTTAGATTACTGTCACGCATGTGCATGTGCCGATCAGCTGGCCAGCGCACATGCTCAGGCCAGAAAATGGAAGACCAGCTCTTCCAGTTTCTGGCAGTGACACAAGCACAAAGGCCAGCTGATTGTCATGTGTACATGCATGGAAGAGGAACAGACAGCACTGCACGTGCCAGGCGACATTGCTCCATGTGCCACTTTGGGCACATGTGCCATAGGTTCGCAATCACAGCCTTATACCATCTTAGACAAATAGGTGCCCAATTTTTATTGAAAACCTCCAATGGTGGAGCACCCAAAATTTCCATATGCAAGCAATCCCACTGATTAATTGCTCTCACTGTCAGGAAGTATCATCATGTGGCTTTACAATAATGTAGAATTAACTTATCTAGTCATGTTTCCTGTCTGGTTTATCCAGCAGGGCCGATAATAGGTGAGAGCTGCTATTAGGGTCTTATTAACTTGCAAAGCTTTCAAGTTGCCATGAGCAGGAGGGAGGGAGAACTGATAGAGCTGATTGATTTCCCTAACTGAAGCCACATTCCACAGATGCTTTCTTACCGCAATCAGTAGGAGGGTGTTGGGTTTCACAGCCAGCCAAAGTGGTTAATTGGAGAATGTGATTTATGACATGGCCAGGGAGGAGGGGAGAGACAGGGTCATAGGGGAACGTAAATCTATGTGGGATTAGTTCTAACTGCATCCGAATATTGCCAAAATGGTGCTCCTAATAAATGACTGTATTTCTTTTGAAGTTTGGCTCATGGCTCATGAATTAATTAGGGCATCTTTCGGAAACTTCACAGATCTATCTTGTGGCAGTAAGATGGTAAAGCAACAGTACTTCTCCACCATTATTGCATCCATGAATTGCTGTTTAGCAGCTTTCTGGGCTGGGGGAACCTGGATATTCCAAGGCTGTGCAGAGGAATCTTCAGAGTATCTGTGGATAAAATTGCTCAAATTTGTTCCTAGCCCTGCAGAAATGCCTGGGTCACAGTCTTGCTCTGCTATCTGACAACAGTTTGAACTTCTTGGACCTGAGAAAGCAGACAAGATTCTTATGATTGTCAACACAGCCAGTTGCTCATTAGACCCATGTCTCTCCTGGTTGGCTCAGGCCAGTGGTGGGATTCAGCCGGTCCTGACCGGTTCAGGAAAACCTGTAGTAGAAATTTGGCTGGCCATGCCCACCCCGCCCCACCCCGCCACTACTTGCAGAATCTAGCCACTGTGTACTTCTGCTCACTGCTGTTAGCAAAGGTAAAGCCGAAGGGCATGGGCTGGCAGGTGAGTGGGGGACAGCGAGCTGGCGGAGGGGTGATACTGGCGGCAGGTGAACTGATGCACACAGGGAGGGAGAGAAGCACGTGGAAGATTGCGGCACTGGAGCCCTTCCCGTGTGTTTCCCAAAGCCGGCCTGCCTGTGAGGGAAGCACGCGGGAGATCACCAGCCAGACTAGCAAGGTGGAGGGGTTGAGTGGGCAGCCCTCAGGAGAGCACTGCACTGGGTTGCTGTGTGCTCTTGGGCCTCCTGCCCATCTCTGCTTCTGCAAGGCAAAAAGAAAGCCATAAAAGTCTTCGCCCGCACCCTCCTGGGGCCCTGGTCTCAGGGCCAATTCGAGTATGTCCTCCATGGACTGCTAAGAGCCCAAAGCTGTAGCACCAAGACAGCCCACGCCTCCTGCTGCTTTGGGCTCAGAGCTGAAAGCCGCGTCCAGGAAGCACTCCAGTGGAGAGAAGCTGCCGAAGTCAGCTCTAGCTAGGAATCTCAAATACAGATGAGAATGAACATTGTGTTGTAGCCAGTGGTAAATCAGCCACCTGCAAACTCCGTCTCTCAAGGAGCCCAGCCACTCACAATCGCCGAGCTGCCTGGACTCCCAGTGATGGGATGGGGTCCTTCAGACTCTTAGTTTGGCCACCTGTTTAGTAGCTCCAGCCAGTGGCTAATACACAAACATTCATTCCCGGCCATATTTGAGATTCCTAGCTGCAGTTTACTCGTGACCATCATTGGCCGGGAGAGGCAGGGAAAAAGGCCAATAGTGCTCACAAGTAAACTGCAGATTAGAGGCAGCTGACAGATCACTGGCTTGCTCGCTTAACTGCTCACTCCTCAGGCAAAGATGTTGTGAGCGGGGAGGCTCAACCCCCTTAGGAGCCCCGAAGCACTTGCCGCCCCTCTGACACCCACCAAGCCTCTTCCTGGGGGGGGAGGGGAGACAAGAGACAGAGAGATAGGGGGAGGGAATAGAGAGAGACAAGAGACACACAGAGAGAGAGAAAGAGAGAGGGATGAGTGAGAGGAGATGAGAGAGAGGGAGAGATGAGAAACAGAGAGAGAGAGAGAAAGAAAGAGATGAGAGAAATGAAAGAAAAAGAGAAAGGAGATGAGAGGGAGGGAGGGAGAAAGAGATGAGAGAGGGAGGGAGGAAAGAGAGAGACAGAGAGAGAGAGATACCTGTTTAAAAGAAAATAGAAAAATGGCTCTGAGTATTTAAGGTTGCAGACCCCTGGGTTAGGCAAACACCATGGTCATTAAGTGAATGTTGTGGTCATTTAAGCAAACACTGTGGTTATTAAACAAGTCCATTTTCCACAATGGGCATTTTTAACCAGAAACCAGAAGGAATTGTTGGAAACTGGCAAAAAATATAAAAAACCTCAGTCACATGACTGGGATGTTGTCATAAGTATGTGAGTGTGTGTGTGTGCGTGTGTGTGTGTGTGTGTGTGTGTGTGTCTGTGTGTGTATGGCTGTCAAAACTCCAAAAACAGATCAAGTAGCTCTGGGGAGGTCAGTCGTAAATTAGAACACTTGCTGAGCAACCGGCCATTAAGCAAGGATCACTTGTATTTGGTTTGCCTTAAGGGTTCAGAGCTGTATGGAATCTGGTTTTCTTTGACCCTTTGGGGGATTGCAAAAGGT